TCCCCTTGTGCCACGTGTACCACCAGCTTCTCTGGCCTTGCTTCTTACCTCAATGGACCTTCTGTTGGGAATGTTTCGGATTGTACGGCTTACCCTTCTATTTATGCTGCAGCTTTTGCTAATCAGTTTGGGCCCACTGATGAAGGTACTATAAAGTGCTTGTTTGCTATTGATGTTACTGCTACTGCTAGTTCAGGAAAAGGTAAGAAAAATGTGACTATTATTGTTGTGGTTCTAGTTTGTGGATTGGTATTAGTGTTTGTTGGGTTTGTTTATTGGATTCTGTGGCGGCGGAGGAAACATAGATTGGCTCATAAGTGGAACAATAGGAGGATTGAGAGTAATTTGAGTTCTCGTTTGGATTCAATTAGTGGTAGTACTACTTTGATTAGGTTTACTATAGATGAAATTAAGTTGGCGACCAAGAATTTTGCTAGGGCGAATATAGTTGGGACAGGAGGGTATGGGAATGTGTATAAGGGTGTTTTGCCTGGTGGAATTGAAGTAGCTTTGAAGAGGTTCAAGAATTGTTCAGTTGCTGGGGATGCAAGTTTCACACATGAAGTTGAGGTTATTGCTAGTGTTAGGCATGTTAATTTGGTAGCTTTGAGAGGATATTGCACGGCTACAACTCCTTATGAGGGTCACCAGAGGATTATTGTTTGTGATCTGATGAAGAATGGGAGTCTTCATGATCATTTATTCGGGACGCGATATGAGAAATTGAGTTGGGGTATTAGGCAGAAAGTTGCACTTGGCACTGCTAGAGGTTTGGCTTACTTGCATTATGGAGCACAACCGGGTATTATTCATAGGGATATTAAGGCGAGTAATATACTTTTGGATGAGAGTTTTGAGCCTAAGGTGGCAGATTTTGGATTAGCAAAGTTCACTCCTGAAGGAATGACACATTTGAGCACTCGTGTAGCAGGGACGATGGGATATGTAGCACCCGAGTATGCTTTGTATGGCCAGTTGACAGAGAGGAGTGATGTTTATAGCTTTGGAGTTGTGCTTCTTGAGCTTTTGAGTGGCAAGAAAGCAATAATAGAGTTCAACGATGGGCAGCCGACGCTTGTGACTGATTGGGCATGGTCATTGGTTAGGGAAGGTAGAGCATTAGATGTTCTTGAAGACAATATTCCAGATTTAGGCCCTCCAGAAGTTGTGGAGAAGTATGTATTAGTAGCTGTTCTTTGTTCCCACCCACAATTGTACGCAAGGCCAACAATGGACCAGGTTGTGAACATGTTGGACGCGGACATACCTGTTCCAACCATACCTGAGAGACCGATTTCTCTCATTGCGGATCTTGATGACATTGAAAGGTCTGTTAGCAGTAGTTTTTCTGGTAATCTGTCCACTGCTGCAGGCTATCAGCCGTACATAATTGAGCGCGAGGCACCCCTAGCAGATAGTGATTCTGTCAAGGACAGATCATTGGATTAAAGATTGTGATAGAGATAGATGCAAAGTATCATTTTGAAATATCTGCTTCAACAGATTTACAACGAGTTGTGATGAATAGCTCATTCATTGGTTTATTTGTAGTGAATTTGTTTCCGACATAGGATCCAGAACTACTAACATAAATTGTACAGTGACTATGTATGTATATTCAACTTTTGATTCTTCTGTAATAGTTTGGAGGAATAAATTATGATGTTTTGAAGGCAACTGCTCTCCTCATGTCCTTTGCCATACCAAGATCAAATATAATAATGAATCCTATTTTAACAATGCATTTGACTACCTTGCAACTAACTGATCCTGCAATTACGTAAATAGGTCTCATTTTTTGCTTCCTAACAATAGAGTGACAGTAGGTGAGAAAGGCCATTTTGCGAATCTCCATGATATTGAAGCAGAGCTAGTAAAGGCATCAAAGAAGACAAAGTTCGATTAGAATCAAGTCCGCCCCGTATTAGGCTGAAGCTCGTGGGAAAGGCCACGACTCTGATTCTTCAGCAACCGCAATCAAGAACTGCATCACCTCTATGGTAGCATATGTCAAATGGTAAGTTGCATGATCATTATTCCACGCTCTTGTGACAAGTGATCTTAGCAAAGTGTTTTTGTTTGCCTCGCTGTATTAATGTTCATTTGTTCCTTATTTGGAATTGAATTTGCTTATCTGCTTGTCTATACCGGTGTAGAAGGTGCTTGGCGGCTAATGTAGTTTATTATTTAGTGGTAGGATTTTATCTTATTTGAATCGAATAGTGTTTAGATTTTTTTACAATATTTGTATAGCTTAACTGATTATAACATGTTAGTACTAAATTTTACACTCTAGTGTATAAAAGTTAAACCAGTACCAGTAAACCATGATTCTGGTGGTTGTAATGTGGCGAATCCTACATGAGGTACTAGTTAAAGAGCATGATATAATAATTAAAATTACGGTATGTCTGTAGGCATGAATAGTGACCAATCCTAATAGCTTATGTTACTAAAAGAAGATCTCTACTGGATGGTAAATTTAGTTAGTGACAGTTGCTGAGATCAAACACTTTATGTTCATAACAAGGGAGATTCTCATTAAAACACAACTATTATCGAAATCCTTGTTGGAGGAGCTAATTATTCAACATCTAATTCAGCATCCACCATGGCAATTTTAGATGAAGAAGAAAATGAGTTAAGAA